TCGGGTTCGCTCCTGACTCCTATCCGATCAAGTTCGGGATTAGCCGAATGGTCACTAGCGACTTTCAACAATGAAACGAATTCAATTGTATAAAATAGTATCCATTTCGACTCATTCTCAATTGAAATATTACATGAAAATGTCGTTCTACATTTTGTCCTGTAATGTAAATTTCTCCAGCATGATAGGTAATAGATGACTAATTATTTTAACTAATAATACAACGTTAAGATATATATCTACGATAAAAGTTTTAATAAAAATTGATGAGTTGTTCTAAAGTTCTTCGTGACGAAGTCTTAGAACAAGATGGCTGTTACTTTTCTCATGGGAAAGAAAAGTCATTGAGAAGAAAATTTTTTATTACTTTTATTTTCCGAAAAAATGGTCGTTCTTTCCAACAAATTTGTTTTTCTTTAACTTCTGTGTAGACGAAGAAAATTGAGAAAAAATGTTGTTTCCCATGAAAATGGAAAAGTGTCTGTCGTACATTATTTCGGACGAATACAAATGAAAAGATATATAAACCGATAAAACACTTCAAATTCTATACAATGAACTATTCATTATTTTTTGTTTTCTTTCTTTTGATTCTCAAAAAATTTCCTTAGTGCATTAAATACGATTTTTTTTGCACAGCAGTGTAAGCCTCGTAACTCTTCGACAGTATGAGTTAGAAAGCTGATATTAATTGTGAGTATAGGTCGCTCAAAGACGATTAACATCCCAAGCAGACAAAACTTTTGAAAAACGCGTTTAAACGCACAAAAAAAGAGGCAAAATCCGAAAAAAGTGGGCGTTTTTGACTCACAATCGCGGTTCCCGACTGTGAGCCAAAAACGTCCAAATTTGTCACTTTTCATGCGTTTAAACGCGTTTTTTAGTAAAAAACGCGCGTAAATGTCTAAAAAGAAGGCTAAAAACGGACATGTTTTTCATATTCATGAAATGCACTTACAATTACGATTTCCATTCATGAGTGTAAAAATCATGAGTACTTTTTGTCTTCTTTTTAGACGTTTACACGCGTTTTTTACCAAAAAACGCGTTTAAACGCATGAAAAGTGACAAATCTGGACGTTTTTGACTCACAGTCGGGAACCGCGATTGTGCGCCAAAAACGCCCACTTTTTTCGGATTTTGCCTCTTTTTTTGTGCGTTTAAACGCGTTTTTCGAAAGTTTTGTCTGCTTGGGTATATTAGAATGAGATAGATGAAAATAAGATATAAATATTGACAAGATATATATACGTATATGGAATCAGTCCTAATTCACTTGTATAAGTCTGAAATTTTATNTTGGGAGCCACAAACGCCCACTTTTTTCGGATTTTGCCTCTTTTTTTGTGCGTTTAAACGCGTTTTTCGAAAGTTTTGTCTGCTTGGGATATAAAGATATTATTCAAAACGATCAACAGCAACAAAAGTTGATAGCTAAATACCACTAAAATCTCCATCGTACCAAAAAGTTGCAATTCATTCATAAACGAAAGCCTCTTTTAAGGTTGAACTTGGGAAAGAACAACAACAATTATGGGTTTCAACAACAGAATCAAATATACGTTGTTGGGTATGTATTTGATGATTAGTATATTAAATATTCATAAAATTTTGCTTATTTTTTTAATAGAATTTAAAAGATAGTCTTTCAACATTAACTCGTACGACTTATTATGATGGCGAAGTGATATGTAAACAACCAGATATGATTATACAAGGTGGTCCAGCACTTAAACATTATCATATTTTATCTGATAAGAGACATATTATAACAAAAGATTCGAATAATAATGTTGCTCTTTATGATGTTTTACAAGTAATTTAAATTAAAATAAAAGACTTTGAATTTATTCCTATTGACTATTACTAGGCTAAAATGATAGAAAATCTTGGTAAATGTGATTATGAGGAAGAAATACGAAAACGTACAAAAACTATTTTTGTACCTAATTGGTTTTGTGTTGATCTTAAAGTTGGTGTAAGTAAATTATTTATATAAATAATTTAAAAAAAACCTTCATATTTTTTGGATTTTAATTAGATTTTAACAATAACACTTGAAGAAAGTGATGTTTTTGCTGCTTGGATTTCTGTTAAAGAATTAGTAGACAATAATGCAGCTGGAAATACGACTGAAAGTGTTGATGTTAAAGGTAAACTATTACTTTATCCAGGCACAATAACCGATTTACATAATATACACGGACATGATTTATTTCCTATTAGAATCGTATTTTTTCGATAGAAATATAAGTTCTTACTGTTCGGAAGACATTGACTGAAAAAACCAACAGCGCAGTTTGAGAGAAAAATTTTGACAGGCTGTCTAAGGGCTAGAGTCCGTCGAGTGCGAGTTCGAAAATTTTGAATCTAATGGATTCTAGTGCTCAGTTCCTTTGTGACTCATTCTTGCTTCATATAATAGAGTATCATGAGATAAGAGAAAATCTTAATGAAGAGTTTTGACTTAAAATGTTGTCTATAAATCGACTTAATAGACATCAAATAGTTCTGAAAGTTTCAACGCAAATGAACCCATCTTTCTCGAACCCCTGGGAAAGTACATCAGATCTAAAAAAATGTGATGCCATTTATTGCGCTTTTGATGATCCTTGGATTACGATAATTCAAATGAGATCCTATTTTGTTTAGAAAATTATGGTGTTTTAATGTTACATTCACTTTTTGAACATTGGCCAATAGTAAAACAAGCCTTAGGTATTTCCATTGAATTTTTTTTTGTTTTGTTCTATTGAATTATTTATGTTTCTTTTCATTCTAGAAACAAATGATAGTTATGCAGAACGTGTTCATCTGGACAATCTTTGTCATATACCTGGACATACACCTATTTTTCTCGGGTATATGATCATAATCAGAATGAAAAAAAAAACAAATATATTGAAAAATAATTTTCGTTTTCTTTTTGTTTAATTTTAAAATAGTGAAATTGGTGGTCGTACACTCTATCGTTTTCGATGTAGTGAAGCCAGTGGTGAGCCTGAACAAAGTTTTCTACATGAAGTTTTACCTCAATTTATTATTAATGTTATTGTTAAAGTTAGTTTAATCATTAACATCGAATTATCAACTTTTCTTAATCTTGTTTTGTTTTTCTTTTAGCATCAAGTTCCTTCATTAACAAAAATTCCGTTTATTCTTCATCATCAAATTAGTAGTACAAAATATAATAAAAAGTCATTTTGTTTTTTTTTGCTATTATTTTTAATAATTATGTATTTTATATTTCAGAGATCGTTTATCAGCAAGTGATATTATGATTGTACGAAAAGTAATTGAATATATTTACGAACGATACGTTCTTAATGAACAACAACAACAACAGCAACAACAACAACAACAACAACAATCACAACAGCAACAACAACAGCAGCAACAACAACAAAATTTATCTACAGCAACAGCTGGAAATGGAATAAGTAAAAACTTTTTATTATTAAATTGAAAGACAAAAAAATAGAATTTAATGTTTTCTTCTAGATCAACAAGATGGAAATAGTGAACAACAACGCGAATCAGATATTAGTAAAAGTGTTGATCATATTGAATTATTATGTCAAGATCAAGTTAGAATATTATTTTTCAAAAGTCAAAAGTTCTTTTTCTTTTGTTTTTGTTATAGGTTTTGGATTTATTAATGGATTTAAGAACTGTTAAACATTTTATGTGGAAAGGAGGTGGTGATCTCGTTTTATGTTTTCGAACTAAATCTTAATCTTTTTTTTTTATTGTATCATAATTTTAACTTTCCTTGTCTTTGTATAATGTATTTTATCATCGTAAATTCTTCTTGCTTAAATTGAACTAGTCATATATTTAAAAAAAATTGTATCAATATAAGAAAAACATTAAAAAAAAAATGAACACAATATTAGAGAAAAATAGATGAATATTTCCAGATAATGTTTTTATTCGAGTATTGAATGAATGATGGCAAACAATATGAAGTCTGAAACAATGCTTATGTCAGGTAATTTTAGTCTAAAATAATTAAGATATTTACCATTAAACAATATATATATATACTGATAAAAGGTATGCAGGCCAGAATTCACGAGAAAAAAATTTGCCGAAACCGAGACTGTCTACAAGGAGGAAGTTGGTTCGATCGAAATAAAGATTATAGCTAAATATTCTATGGTTTTAAGTAAATTATCTAATAAATCATATCCATTAAAAAATAATTCAAGAGAGAAGATCCAAAAAATTGCTGGTCATCGACAGAATAAATCAAAAGACGAATATTTGAAGAGTTGTTTTAAATGTAATACGAATAAATCTTAGAATAGTTTTCTCTAATCCAGGATCGAGATCAGGCTAGATTTACCAAGGCTATAACTGGAGCCACTAGCAAAAGAAGTTGTTACTGGAATCAGAACTAAAAAAGCTTGGTATCGCACATCTCTAATTCCAATGAAGTATGGAATTAATTATGTGAAAGACATATGAAAGTGTTGATGAATGTTAATATTAACAATTGTGTTTCTCACTTGATGTATAGAACAAATCGGATGATGTTTTTGGTTAGACAGCAGTATGATTGATGTTTCTAGGGCTTTTTGGCAAATGAAAACTTAATAAATTTTTAAAACGATATATTTTGCTTTTAAATTTTATGTAAAAGAGATTCCTTTGTTTTAATTTCTATCTAGAATATTTGGTATGTTGCCATTTTATTTGTGAATATTTGTATAAGAAACAACTTGAAACTATTCACCACTTCGACGTTTTCTTGAACAAAAACGAACATTTTCGAAGTTAATTCTGAAAAATTTTGTACATCTAATACTCGTACTATACTACCAAGTCTTGCTTAAATCGATAAACTATGACTATCTTTTCTCCCTGAAGATTTTTGTCATAATTCTTTTCTTAAATTATCAATTTCATAGTTGAATATTGAAAAAAAAAAGGTTATTGTATTTATTCCAGGTGTTACAGTCGATTTTCCTTATAAACCTTATCCATGTCAAATAGCAATGCTTGGACGAATAATAAAAGCTTTGCAACAATCAAAAAATTGTCTTCTCGAATCACCAACAGGTACTGGAAAAACTTTAACTTTACTATGTGCATCATTAGCTTGGCAACAAAAAGAAATCGAACAACTTCGATTGTCTTCATTAAATGAAAATACAGATAATGCAACAGAATCAACAACAAAACCAACATCAGTTTCACCTATATATTATTGTACCCGTACACATAAACAACTTGAACAAGTAGCTAAGCAACTTAGTAATACAATATATAAAGATAAAATTCGTATGACATTATTATCATCACGTGATAATTATTGTGTACATCCGACTGTATCTAGAGGACCGAATAAAAATAATGAATGTGTTAAAATAACACGACCAAATCAAAATAATTCAGCAGTACGAGGATTTAAAAGTGAGTGTGGTTATTATGAACGTTTAAAAGGTAAAATAGCGAATGATTTTATTCGATCACATTCAAAACCATTGCCACGTGTTTTTGACATTGAACAATTTACTGAATATTGTCGAATATCACATGGTATATGTCCATATTATACAAGTCGTTTGCTAATACATGATGTACAAATTATTCTTTGTCCATATAATTATCTTATTGATCCACGTGTACGTAATTCAATGCAATTGATAGTAAATGATGCAATTATTATTATTGATGAAGGTAAAAATAGAAAACTACTATTAGTACAATCTCTACGAGATTAAAATGTAAAATATGATGTAGCTGCTGTTGCCAATCATAAGATCGTTGTTTCATTCGATCTACTTTAAGATATATTTTTTTCACTATTCTTTTACTTAATCCTACAGATATTGCAATAAGTAATTCATATATTACAATGAGATATTATCAATACACGGCCCGTAATCGTATATCAACAACTTCTGCTACGGTCTAAAACATGGAGTAGGGTTAGCCTTGCTATGGTATCTGTGATGTTTCCACGGTAATGACTATTACGAAATGCCAGGAGGGCAGAATTTCTATTCCTTTTCTTCAGCATTCTTTTTAAATCGTATTTCCCAAAAAAAGATAGGATTAATTTAATATGTTGTTCTATTTTTTTTAGCACATAATATTGAAGATTGTGCTCGTGAATCAATGAAATTTGAAATGAGAAAATATGATTTTCAACAAGCATTAGAAGAAATATGTATGAATCAAAATGCATTGAAACTAGCACAAGTTAAAATAGCTGACTTAATTGTAAATGAATCAGGTTTTTCATCAACACAAGAACCACTTTCTTCAACACAATTAACAGTAACACAACAACAAGCAGCACGTCGTGCATCGGGTTATTCGGAATTTGATCAATTAAATGACGAAACTAATTTACTTGACCATTTAAATATTGATCAACATGGAAATAAACAAGATGAATCATCTGATTCAGTTGAAAAATTAAAATCTGATGATCATGAAGTTGCTAATGCATTAAAGTTTCTTGCTGAAAGATTTTCTCGAATTATTTTATGGTTTGATACGAAAGATATACGTGAAAAATATACATTTACACCTAAAGAACTTATTGAACAATTTCATCAAGCAAAATTTATTGATCAATCAATTATTAATATTCATAAACCGGCAGCGTATGTTAAATTTATTTATTATTTATTATATAGATGGATAAATTATATTTTTGTTTTAGAAAAAATAAACCAGCAACTAAACGTCGAGTTATACAAGATGCTGCTCGTATACGAAAAGCATTATCTAAAATATTTTTAAATCGACCAGAATATATTAAATTTTCAGATGAAACTGGAAAATTTCTAGAAGAACTTGATCTGTAAGATAGCAATTTGATTATAATCTTTTGTTTTTACAAAACATTTGTTGTGCATCTATTAAATTAACTTTTTCGAACGACGAAACCTTGCTAAGTAATAAATCGCTTTTGCAATTAATCTAAATCCGATTGAAACTCGATTAAGTCTTAAAAAGAGTTTGTATCCATATATATGTCTTCTTGAATTATGACCAAACAAAATCTTATAATTTTCTTCAAAAGTAACTAACTATCGAATATTAACTTTGTAAGAATAAAATTTTCCATGAGATTGGTCTATGCATTTACATCTGCCAGTACGCATCCTTCATTTGTTTCCGATTAGGTACGAAATCTTTTTTTGTCTTTGAATATGATATCAGAGATCTGCACCTCATCTAAAAAATGAAGCAAGGTCGGCGCGAAGAACAACAGCAGCTCCAAAATAACGGTCACCGACCGAATAGCCTTTTGGACGAACGACATAGTCGTGCCTTCTGGTAGCGGGAGAAACTTTTCTTTCATACTTATGATTCTATAATATTTCTTAAAAAAAAAATTGTATTTTCTTTGTGACATTTGCATATCAGCAACAATATAAAATTTAAATTTTAAGACAAATTTTTATATTATGTTTGTCACAGTGAATTTCACTAACTTTGAGTTACGTCGATTTACTATTAGGACAATTTTTAATCAAGATTGGTTACGATTTAATTGATAAATATAACAAATGAGTATCGAATTGAGAAAATAAAACGAATGATATTTCATCAAGAGTGAATATATCAATGATTAAATCCTTTGTCTTAACTTTTAGTATTTGGTGTACATCCTTTTGAAAAAAAAAAGGTCCGAGCAATAGAGTTTAACAGTTCTTATGACAAAACCGTGATCGCTTTCTGTATCATACAATATGGTGTAATGATTTTTCTTTATAGATATGGATGCAAATCGTATCAGTAAAGTGAAAATGTTTCCTTCTTAGTATTTGTATCAATGAAATTTCGTCAAACTTCCTTTACAGAGTTAATTTCAGCAAGAGATCAGTTCGTTTCTATCAAAGTAAACGTTTGTTTTCACTTAGATCCAGAAAAATGCTTCTTAATAATCATTGATTCGTATGCAATTGATTGACTTTTTTCTTTTATAAACAGACTATTGATTGAACTTTAACGAAATATTCCAACATATTTGATGTACTACTCGGATTCTTATACAGATCAATGATCGTTTAGCATCTTTTCCTAGACAGACTTATTTCGATGAATTGTGTTAAAAATTGACATTGAAATATATTGAGTTTTTTGTTTTGATCTAAAATAGATTTGGTCAATTATTAGCTTTAAAATTTTTGCTAAAACTTTCCTTTTCTTTTTCTCTTTAGTTGTTTATCGGTTTTATATGGTGATGATTATCAATTTATTGATGATTATAAAATAACATTAAAAACAATTCCATTTGAACCAAGTGCAAATCTAATTTCACAAATGCAACAACGATCTGAAAGTTCAACGGAAGTAGATGATAATGGATGGATTGATATGAGTTCACAATCAGCAAGTCAATTTAAAGGGTATCAACGTAATTTAGCTCAAACAACTTATCCTCTTCATACACAACAATTAATATTTTATTGTTTATCACCAAGTGTTGCATTTTCTAAAGATTTACAATTAGCTCGATCGTAAGTTATTCTGATGTGATTTTAAATATAGATGTGATTTTTTTTTTTACAGTTTAATCTTTGCTTCCGGTACACTTGCACCATTAGCAACTTATTCTGGTGAATTAAAAGTTCCATTTGATATTCAAATGGGTAAAAAAAAAACAATTTCATTTTTTTCAAAATGTTTTAAATAAAAAAATTTCTTTTAGAATGTAATCATGTTATTGATCTAGACCGTACATTTATAACAGCATTAAGTCATGGACGAAATCCTAATATAAAATTACGAGCAACATATCAAAATACAGATAAACTTGAATTTCAAGTAGGATTATTTGCTTTTTGTTGTTCTTTAATAAAACAAATTCTTTCAAAGGATGAATGTGGTCTTGTTATACTTGATGTTTGTCAACGTGTTCCATTTGGTGTACTTTGTTTTGTACCATCATATAGATTTCTTAATGTAATTATTAATCGTTGGATGACAAGTGGACTTTGGCAAAAATTAAATGAATATAAATCAGTATTTTTTGAAGAAAAAAATAGTGCTAATTTTCAAAATACAATCAGTAAGATTTTATATATAATTATTATTTTTTTTGGTTTTTATTTAATATAAATCATTTAAAAGCTCGATTTCGTGAAGCAAATGGAACATTAAAAATAGTTAAACCAATATCAACTACTACTAAACGAGTAAAGGAAATGTTTAAACGAAAAATTAAATCCAATGAAACATCAACAACAAATTCACCATATTTTAATTCAAAAGGTGGTCTTTTATTAGCTGTTTGTCGTGGACGTGCATCTGAAGGCATTGATTTTTCGGATAATAATGCACGTTGTGTTATAACACTTGGAATACCATATCCTAATGTACAAGATGAAGAAGTTTGTTTTAAACGTAATTATAATAATGAACAAAATAGACGTATTCCACAAATTATGAATGGTAGTGATTGGGTTAGTCTTTATTGATTTTCTTTTTTTTTTCTACAACAGAGAACGTCACAGAACGGTTTTCTTCATGCTGCCCTGCTTTCTACAAGATCTTGCCACTCGAAAGAGATAACCTCTTTAACTGTACCCTTTCGATTTCATTGACTTTTTCGCCTATAAATAATATTTATTATTTAAACTCTTTAAAATATTTGGGCCCTATTGAGATTCGACTAAGTTATCGAATTTTTAACGTTCCTATGCTTCCATAAAAAAGATTCATGAGTTTTGAATAGTCTCCGAGAAATGAAAATTTTAAGATATAGACTCTTTTTCCATGGATAGTATATATAACATACATATTTTGAAAGCGTCATATCTCGAGTACACTTTCTTCAAAATATCTGAATTTCTTTAAGGAAGCTAGTCTAGTTGAGTTGTCGACATGGGTAAAGTTTCAGATCAAAATTCGAAAATATGAGTTTCTGAAAACCTGAAGTTCAGAAAATAGACATGTTAAAAAATTTTATAGCTCAGTTAAAGCTCAATAGAAAGTCAAATCCTGTTAGAGATTTTATTAGAACAATATGTAGTATCTACGGGCAAAGAATCATTGAAATCAAAATGAGGCAATTGAAGAGGTTTCCTTGCGAGCTAAATATTCTTTCTAATGAAGCACTAGTCGTTGGTGTATGGCATATATTCTTCTCGTCACTACTTATAATAATGGAAAACCGCGACAAGTTTCACTAATAAATAAGTTCTTCATTGGATCACTATAAGAAATATGCGAGACCAAGTTTTTTTGTTTCAGTCCCAACCCAGTAGAGCCCGTCGAGTACAACACTTTTGGACCCGTACCCGGTAAATGGAAAAATTTTGAACCCTAACCTTACCCGGACCTGATCTCGTCTGTGTCTGAGGCCAAAGCAACGTGTTCTATTGAACACAAACAATTTATTTTCAACACTGACAACCAAAAGCAACTAGCTCTTCAGAGAAAGCTGAAGATCAGTAAAACTTCGAAAAATATTCTCCTATGCATCAAAAATTGCTTTAGACCCGGACCCACTTTATAGAAAATTTCCAGACCCGAACCCGTACCCGTTCGGATCCGGGTGAGGGTCGGACCCGACGGGCTCTACAACCCAGCCTCAGCAGTTTCTCTTTCTCGTTGTCCTAGCAAAGTTTTATTTTTTTTCTTCGACACCAAATTGTTTACCTGTACGGCTTGTCTTGCAGGTAGGGATGCACCAATTCCAATTCCAACCAATTCCAATTCCGGTCAATTCTGGGAATTGGAATTGGTGCATCCCTACTTGCAGGACACACGTGCTGTTGCATTCTCTGTTCTAAAATAATTATTTCTTTTGTTTTTAAATTTCAGTATGATTCTCAAGGATATCGTGCTTTAAATCAAGCACTTGGAAGATGTATTCGTCATAAAAATGATTGGGGAGCATTAATTGTATATATATGAATAGGATATTTTTATTTTTTAAAGTTTAATATAATTTTCATTATTTAGATTGTTGAAGAACGAATTGTTAATAATATGAGTGATAAACACTTTAATAATAAAATTTCTTTATGGATCAAACAACGTCTTTCTATTTCACGTCAATATGATGATACAATGAATGATTTAGAAAAATTTGTTGAGAATATGAAAATATCTGATGAAATATCAATGTATCACAAACAACAACAGGAGCACAATGAAGAATCCGAAAAAAAATTATTTAATGATGAACAACATCAATTGAATTCAAATCTTCCATCATCAAATGGTAAAATTAAAAATTATTTTTATTTTTAAAAAGTAACTTTATATTTATATTTTAGAAGTACCAAATAAAACGGAAGGAACTAAACCTACTTATCGACAATTTAAAGTTGATGATTTAACTGATGATGAAGATGTCAATGAAAATCAACCTAAACAAATAAAAAAAGTAGCTTTTGAAAAATTTATTGCTAAACGTCAATCATCTATGACATCACCATCAATATCATTGGAAAAAGTTAATTCATCTCAAATAGGACAAATAACTAAGTTAACAGATGATCATAATGAAAAAATGAACAAAAATCATGTTAAACAAATCAAAAGTAAACCTTTTCAAAAATTTCTTACACAACATCCTATGTCTACATCTTCAATACCAACATTATCTCAAAAAATTAATTCATCTCGAACACAAACAATGATTGATTTAACTGAAGATGATGATAATGATGATTTTATTTCATCCGCATCTTCGTTTTTTCCTCCACCAAATAAAAAACTTAAATTGACATGAATTTTGTTTAGTTAAATAATATAATATATATATTTCTTTTTTACTTATTCCATTTCTGTGAAACATAGACCGTTTATTTATCTTAAAGTTCAGTGGATTATTTTTCTTTCTTTTTTTGTTAAAAAAAATTTGATTTGTGTATATATGATATAAGTATCTTAAACTGTTTGATAACGTGGATGAATTAGATCAAATCAATCAGTGAACAATTTGCAGTCAAAATAAAGATGAAAATGATATTTTAAATAATATAATCAATATCAATGGATAAATTAAGTACATAAGAATAATAAAATGATAATATTGACAAGACTGGACGTTCCTATTTTTCACAAGCTAATTTTTGCATTTTAACATATTTTAACTATAAAAGACATTAATTGAAATGTTAATAAATGTTTTGTTTTTTACTTCCAAAGAACTTCAAGTTTAAGTTTTGGATTATAAAAATTGATGATTTTTCTGTCCAAAGTAACTGTTAGGAGAAAGCCACGATATTTTTTCATAAAGTTGATCAAAGATTTCGAGTGTTGAGGAATGTGAATCTGTAATCGATTACTCGAAATTGTACCCTTGATTTCACAGAACACATGTACATTTTCGACGAAAATACTGAGTGTAAATTACAAGTCAAAGTTTTACGCTCCTCACTCTTCTCTCCTTTACAGACTTTAGCAACTCACGTCAGTGGTTCTGTATTCATCGCAATACATGATACACCATTAAGAACTGATGCATGCATAATGAATATATAAAAGAGGCGTATTTGTCCGTCAAATCAATAGTAAGACTAACAATAATAAATTATGCAAATGAAATAATAAAAAAAAAAGAAAATAGAAACCAAGCAAATAGTAACAAGACAAATAAAACAAAACTTCTGTTCGAAATGTAGAAATACGAATGAAAGAGAGTTTGCTGTCGATTGATTCTCGTTAGAAAGAAACTATCGCCTTTTAAAAATTTAACACTTGCCGTGTTTTGTATTAGTATAATGAAATTAAAGAAGACATATGAGTTCCACATGTCAGCCTCAATGCGTGGTTGCACTAATAAGCTTTTTTTTTATTAGAGGAAGGCTATTGTATGAAAGTAACGATTTATTATAAAGTGTAGCCAAAGGTTTTCATAGTCGAGGAATTCGAATCTGTAATCGGATTCTCGAAATTTTATATTTGATATTTTGATCAAGTTCTCTCGACTACGAAAGCATTTGATCAAATTTTATAGAAGTTCGTGATTTCCCCTCAACAGCCATTCCTTTAATGAACGAGTCAAATCCACGAATTTCCTGTTATCCAGTAACTGGTAAGTTTTCTCTCCTATTGTTTTACTACCTTTCGAGATGGTATGAAAGAAAAGAATTGATTTTATTGGGTGTGGGTATTGGTATGGGTGTAGGTGTAGGTGTAAGCTAAATTAGAGGAAGTGCTGACCCCATACTCACACCCGCACCCTAATTTTGATTATATAAATCCATGGCATAAAACTGAAAAAATTAATGTTATTGAGGATCATCATAATCTATTTGAGCATTTTTCCATCTGATAAAAATCTTGATATATCTTTCTAATTGAGATCATACTCTTGTTTATTACATTTTCAATCATGTTCAAGGATGATGCATTTTTCTGCATATGGAATGCCCATTTTTGCATAAACTTTCTATTATCAAGAAGAAATACAAGTTCATTAAACAAATAATGAGCTGATTTCATCGTCTCGCGTATGCTAGAAAAGCTTTATTATTGTTCATTCAAAAACTTTGAAAAGATCATCGTGACGGTGTTAACATGAATTTGTTGATCATCATCATGACAAATTTTAATTGCTGATGGGCATCTCGATTAGGTAGATGAGCTTAATTTTTGAAGAAATATATTCACTCAGCTATTTTTTAGTGCGGCTTTGAACGAAATGCAACCGACATTTCATAACATACAAACCTTGTGTTTCATTTAAATATAACATAATCAATATATTGTAAGTAGATAATGAAACGATTAATGTCTTTTAAGGAAAATATTTCACACGATTTTAAAATCGTTTCAAGTCAGATAAGCCCATTCCTATAACCAATTAAAATCATTTTGGAACATTTTTATAGCATTCACCTTCTTACACTACACATAGTTTTATGACTTAAGTGGCTTGCCGGAAGTTCGCCAATAGGGTTTTTCGCAAACTGAACTTTCGCCATTGGCGAACGTCCAGTGAACTTTCTCGAACTTTAATAGAACGGTAGAATTGATTAAAGAGATTGATATCAACTATATTCTTAAGTGTATCACTTCTGGTGCATTTTTATAATGCTAGGCATAGTTCTTGTACCTCACTTACGATATGAATGTTACACTAGCATTGATGAAAATCTATTCGACTTTCGTCAATTAGCGAAAGTTCACTGAACTTTCTCCAATACACTTCTGGATTTTCGCCAATAATGGGCGAAAGTCTTATTGGCGAAGTTCTGGAATCCCATTTAAGTGGCATTCACTTACTCTATATTTCATGTTGATAAAAGCATGACTACGGTTGCGAGTAACAGTAAAAACAAGAAACCCTCACACCCTGTTATTCTTTTATTTTCACTTTTATTTTAAACTTTAATTGTTATAATTCAATGCGACAAAGAATTTATATTATTTGAATCAGCATTGATTTTTGTAAAATATTTCGCATTTTTTGTTTCGTTTATAGTAGAAAAAATAAGAAATATTTTCAAATTCATAAAAGACCATATTTTACCATAGATAAAAATTTTCGGCAAAACTTATGAATATATCATAGACTTTTTGTGAAAGCAAATAACAATTAACTAAAACTTACGCATGTAGGCACTGCTTTTTTCTTTACTCGCATGAAAGCATACACCTCACTCACCCTTTATATCCATATTCTTGCTAAGAGACAGTTGACTAGAGTTGGAAACCTTTGATAAAAAGATAGTGAGTACGAATTCAGTGAACAGGACGTTCCTCTCTCTTTTGATATTATGTACGTAAGGAACAGGAAATTGAGCTGAATGAAAACAGTAGTTCTACAAAACGACCTATTCAATAGATTTTGACATTGTGTTGTGCTCGGTTCAATAAGTTGAATTAGAACATTGATTAATAATTCAAGGTGTTTTGTCTATTCGATCGATCCATCAAAATATTTTGATTCTGATATAAAAGAATTATTAAACCAGATCGATTAAAACTGAGTATCATCATCAATAGAAACTTTAACGTTTCTTCAATTGATAATCGTTGGGTATCGAACTCTGAGTACAGTGGCTTCGCACGTGTTTTATTGATAACGATTACATTTCAAAATCACTTGACTCAAAGAAAAATCTTAAATGGAGTTACCATATATTTTTAGCATGTACCGTTCCCGAAGAAGAAAAAAGGACTCTATATTTTTAATTTACTATCAATACCTATCTAGAAAATCATGGTCTTATACATCTGCTCAATTGTTAGTATATTAAAGAATTGTTATTGATTAAGGAAGATTACTTTGTTTTCCTTGTGCTAAATTTACTATCAAACAAGTCTTTTTTCTTATATTAATAACGACGAACTTCTGTCTAATTTCTATTAAAAACAAGTCAGGAATCTCTGTTTTTGAAGTAATAAGATTCCTATTTATCTTTGGCCGTTATAGAAAATCAATATCAGCAATGTTCTTTTGCAGTAATGTTTTATTAAGAGAAATTGATTGGTAGTCATTTTTTATCATTACATATATTCTACATGATTTGATATTATTGAGGACTTTTTTGTTTAAGGAGTTCATGAATCTATCATATATAAATTAAACTGTTATAACTAGACAGTTTCAAAATGGTTCCGATCCCGGCGGGATCATATTCGGGACTAAAAATAATTTTCGACTGAACCGGGTGCCGAAACTAGGAACTTATTTTTAGTGAGTCCAGTACAATTTTATGTCAATAAAAAGTAGAGTTCGTTTTTCGGAATGTATTACTACAGTTTCGAATCGCAATTGAGTTATTTTGATTTCAAATATATTAAAATAGACGGTAGATGTGAATAGAATAAACTGAAAATTTTAAAGCAAGAAAGAAAAATGCATGCATAAAAATCATAACAAGTTTTCATTCTTCGTAATACATACGTTCTTGTCAAAAATTTCAGCATTGTTACTATCAAGTATGACATTAAAATAATATATATCTATTGATAAGTTTTCATAGAAATGTTTTTAATTTTTGATAGCTGCGCTATCCGAATGAAGAAAATATAAATATAAATCTGCAAATTGATCCTAATTCCAGTTCGGCTGAGCGAGATATATAGATTTCCAAACTGGTTCGAGTGTACTTTTTCAATAAGATCTAGACTATAGACTTGAGGATGTGGGTGTGGCCAAAGAGATTCTTACGCCAACATCCGCACCCACAACCACACCCATACCCTCAAGATCACTTAAAACTAAGAATAGTCACATAAATACATTCAATATTATACGAAACAATACTTTGCTATTAGCTTAGCATTTTTCAAAAGAATGCGCTGAAATAGGAACCGTTTGACAATAAGCTATAAATATTCAAAATTATGAAAGTTTTAAATGTGTAATAGTACGCAAATCGTCTATAATGGCAAATCCCATCATGGGTTTGTGGCGTCCATCACATGATTGAACTCCATGAAAGCGCCCGACAATGTTACACATTTTCGATTGATTAGTCACTTCATTGTTTACTTGAACAGGAACAACCAACGATGGAAGTTTTAGATCCGCTACATGATGAATATTACTCTCACGTAGTCCATAACAAAGACGAAGAATCCATCCACCATTCACATAATCTCCGTCCCATCTGAAATATGAAAAGAACAAAACCAATAATTGTTTTCCTTTTCATTACCATTAGAAATATAGTTTAATTCGGTCTTTGCTCAATTGGAACATACTGATAAGTTTTGAACTCATCTAAATCAAATACCATCTCATTTGAAAGCTAATTATATTTCAATAACGAGAAGTTTATTTCTTTCATGACTAAGCCACTGAGCTACGATCGTTTTATAGAATTTGTGATCGATACTATCGTGAGTTCGATTTGGAATTCTACTTGTTGTCGTGCCTAATAATCATTATATAATCTCAACTTTCAATATTACGAAAAATACAATACATCAATGGTTTGATTTCTTTCTAAAAGAACTCAATTGTCAAAACTCGAACAAATGAGATGGCACAGAAATACTTCCATGCAACAGTTTCCAATACATGAACTGTGAAGTGAAGATCGATAAAGATCATCAGAAAATACTAAAAACTTACACTCCTGATTGTCCTGATTTATGATTGATGTACATGATCTCATTCCAAAACTTTTTATCGACGTTGCCTTTGTATGTTTCGATGAATTGATCGATGATAGACAAGATACCATCAATATACATAGCAAAACTATCGTGTTGATCTGTGGTAAAATTTTTGAGTTGTTCAGTTTTGCGGCGCAATAGTTTCCAATCGTCCAAAGTACCCATGAAATGAGCTTGGCGAATACCACATAACGTCATACAGGCTTCATATTTAAAGTATTTCTTCAACGTATCCATTGTAGCCAAATTAGAAAGAAACAATTCTACTTTGGATGTAGTTGAAAAATTTGCTCTCAGTAGTTCTGTGACATCATTTCTTACATTTCTACTCATTTCGGTTTGCATACGTTCGATAAAATCATCCCAACTGTAAGATAGAGAACATTATCATCTATATATTTTTTGCGTTTCTGAAAAATAGAAGTATATACTCACTCGATTTCGGCCATGCCTACTTGTACAATAGTCAATATTTTCTTATCAGTATGATCAACAAAGAGTGCGCGTAACTTTTCAGCATTATCATTGATATATTGGCAGAAGTAGATACGAATCATGAGCCAAATATCGTCAGGAGACAGAACAATATCCTCATGGGAATTGTATGCAAATAAAAACGCAGCGAAAATTGGATGATTCTCAATTAACGTAGTATCTAAGCACAAGCATATTGACTCTGATTAGAAACAATAGATTAAACATCACTTACATGGACCATTGACCATGACATGTTGCACTTTATAATGTGTTTCTTCTCCTTTCTTAGCCATTTTCCTGATCCAATAGTCAGTAGGTGGAAGATCTTTTAATGTTTCATCTTTGTAATATTTTTTGATCTCTGGCAAATCGGGACAAATGGGTACTGTATGAAAATTAGATGAAACTTTGTTTGAGTTGATTGAATTTCCTGTAGCCATACTGATTTATAGTTGTTTCACTGCTTTAAAACAGCAGATAACTGTAATAAAACTCATGAAAAGAAAGCTATTTATATGCAAAGCGATAAGAGTGAAAAAGGGAAGTGGGTTGTTTGTTTTCTTATATGAAAAAAGAATCTACTGTAATGCCATGTAAACATACAGAATATTATGATCCGCTGCGAATGTTTACCAAGACACTGACAGGCATGACAAAGAACAGAAAAGAAAATGTGCACAGAGGAAGTGGTAACCAATCTGAATCACACGGCCTTGTGTTTTTTTAAAGGTAGCTTGTATTTATTTTATATCTAATAAACAACGCTGATGTTTTTGTATACAATTGAGAAAGAAAACTATTTCAAACTCGTTCCTTTCTACACACACCTAGAATGTTGACGTGTGTAGTTGGGGAGAAGCCTCGCACCCACATCCTAATTTGTCTAGAAAAAAAAGAAACGCGACGTTAATAGTCGAACAACATTTCACTTGTTGTCGTCAATCACAACGAAAGAAAAATTGAGGCATTTTTCATTTTAGTTTGATCAGACAGCAGTAAACAATGCCGTATTTCTTTCTGCTGACGAAAAAAAAACCATGCACGAAATGAATACATACATATACGTATATCAATGACGATGCAGATAAAAGCTGTTTGATCACAAACACGAAACCTCGAAGCGTTCGCCTACTCGATTTACCTGACGAATTATTGCTTATGATTATGAAAAAATCGAAACGCAATGATATACTCTACTCACTTGTGGATGCTCATAAAAGGATTGATCAACTGGTAGGTAGTCTATCTGACACTCATCTAATAAACTTTACGAGTTTATTATCAACTGGTGATGAACATATCTCTATGGATGATTTAAATATTCAATCGATTCTGCTCTTAGATAATGCCTCGAATATGTTATAACGGGTGGGCCATAAATAATGATGGTCTGATTGCTTCACAGATATCGGCCTTGAATTTCATCTCAAAGGCTTCGGATTTCTTCCAAAGGATTCAGCATTCAATTCTCTACAAAAACATAGCGAAGGTCTTTTGATGAGACTTTATGAAGAAAAATTAGAGAAGTAATACTGAAGTGCTCCAAGAAACATAACTTTCAAGCGTAAAAATCAATATTTTAAGATTTATGTGTTCGGATTTTGATTCACCGATAAAACTAACAAGCAGCTTTGTAGCGCCTCGAGGGCTCTATGTTTTGACTGTGTTACAAAAATTTTCACATTGATATTTGTAGCCTAGATGAGTCATCTTTTTTTCCAACTGGTCGAAAATCACGCTTTTTGAATTCATCATTATGGGATTCTCGTGAAATTGATATAAGTCAAGCAAAAATCAACATTTGTAGCTTCGCTACATTTTTTATTGGAAAAGAGTGACCAAGACATTCGATAATATTTTCCAAATTTGAATTGCATTCTTTTTTCCCGATGTTACCGAGTTACTCCGCAATATAAGTAAAGTTAGCGCACCTCTGCCTCAACTCAATATAATGTCACAATTGCAATGGCTTACGTTTTTGAAACTGATTCCACTGTACATCACGAGAAAGAGCATACTTAATTGTTCTCAAAAACTTGTTAGGCTGCGGTTTTATATTTATTCAAGAGCTAGAAAATAGGCTGAACCGTTTCGGAGATTGAAGAAAAGAAACTTTTGAAAGTTGAACCTCTTGGAGCATTTCAGTATTATTTCTCTAATTTTTAGTCGTAAGGTCTTATCGAAGGATCTTTGATATGTTATNCAACCAAAGCATTCTTTTTACTTACCCAACGAGCACAAAACTACGTGCCCCAAATTATACATTTAATGGCAACCTATATCCTGAATACGAAAGCGAAGATACACAATTCCCAGATAATCATTCAAAAGATCGTAATGACACCATGCCCCACGAAGGAATATCATTCTCAGTCGATGATTTACGATCATTCCTAGAAGGTCGAGCGAATTTGTCAAGGAATCAAAAAGCACAAATTGAAGCTTACTTAAGCAAACAACCACCATCGGATCGAAGTATATTTTCACAATATTCACTGAGCACTAAGCTACCAAGCAGAGAATCTCCAGCTGACGACAAGGTACACACTGGTAGTCCAAGCCAAAGTACACAGTCACCACGCCATCTTACAAAGGTACCATCATCCGATTTGCGAGATTTTAACCGTACTATCCATGCTGAAGAAATATTATTTTCAAATGATGACTTACGATCTTTCCTAGAAGGTCGTGCCAATTTGTCAAACAAGCAAAAGGAGCAGATTCGAACGTATCTAAGTACAGAGTCATCATCCAATCAAAGCATTAGTTCCAGTTCCCCAACGAGCACAAAAGTACGGCCCTCAAATTATACATTTCATGGCAACCTATATTCTGAATACGAAAGCAAAGACACACAAATCCCAGATAATCATTCAAAAGATCGTAATGACACAATGCCCCACGAACGAATATTATTCTCAGAGGATGATTTACGATCATTCCTAGAAGGTCGAGCGAATTTGTCAAGGAATCAAAAAGCACAAATTGAAGCTTACTTAAGAAAACAACCACCATCGGATCGAACTACATTTTCACGATATTCACTCAGCACTAAGCTACCAAGCAGAGAATCTCCAGCTCATGACAAGGTACACACTGGTCGTCCAAGCGAAAGTACACAGTTGCAACGCTATCTTACAAAGGTACCATCATCCGATTTGAGAAAATTTAACCGTACTATCCATGCAGAAGAAATATCATTTACAAATGATGACTTACGATCTTTCATAGAAGGTCGAGCTAATTTGTCAAACAAGCAGAAGGAGCAGATTCGAACGTATCTAAGTAGAGAGTCATCATCCAATCAAAGCATTAGTTCCAGTTCCCCAACGAGCACAAACGTACGAGTCACAAATTATACATTTCATGGCAACCCAGATCCTGAATACGAAAGCATAGACACACAATTCCCAGATAATCATTCAAAAGATCTTAATGGCACAATGCCCCACGAAGGAATATTATTCTCAGAGGATGATTTACGATCATTCCTAGAAGGTCGAGCGAATTTGTCAAGGAATCAAAAAGCACAAATTGAAGCTTACTTAAGCAAACAACCACCATCGGATGAAAGTACATTTTCACGATATTCAATCAGTACTAATCTACCAAGCAGAGAGTCTCCAGCTGATGACAAGGTACACACTGGTCATCCAAGCGAAAGTACACAGTCACCACGCTATCTTACAAAGGTACCATCATCCGATTTAAGAGAATTTAACCGTACTATCCATGCAGAAGAAATATCATTTACAAATGATGACTTACGATCTTTCCTAGAGGGTCGAGCGAATTTGTCACACAAGCAAAAGGAGCAGATTCGAACGTATCTGAGTAAGCAATCATCATCCAATCAAAGCATTTTTCCCAGTTACCCAACGAGCACAAAAGTACGAGCCACAAATTATACATTTCATGGCAACCTATATCCTGAATACGAAAGCAAAGACACACAATTCCCCGATAATCATTCAAAAGATCTTAATGACACAATAGCCCACGAAGGAATATTATTCTCAGTCGATGATTTACGATCATTCCTAGAAGGTCGAGCGAATTTGTCAAGGAATCAAAAAGCACAAATTGAAGCTTACTTAAGCAATCAACCACGATCGGATCAAAGTACATTTTCACGATATTCAATAAGTACTAAGCTACCAAGCAGAGAATCTCCAGCTGATGACAAGGTACACACTGGTCATCCAAGCGAAAGTACACAGTCACCACGCTATCTTACAAAGGTACCATCATCCGATTTGAGAGAATTTAACCGTACTATCCATGCAGAAGGAATATCATTTACAAATGACGACTTACGATCTTTCCTAGAAGGTCGAGCCAATTTGTCACACAAGCAAAAGGAGCAGATTCGAAGTTATCTAAGTAAACAATCATCATCCGATGAAAGCATTTTTTCCAGTTACCCAACGAGCACAAAGCCACCAACGAGAAAATATACCCTTGATGACAACGTATATCATGAGTATGATACCGACGAAAGACACTTTCCAGATTATGATTCGAAGGTTCCATTATCTGATTCAAATGATTTTAGTCGCACAATTGACAAACAAGGAATATTATTCTCAAACGATGACTTACGAAATTTCCTAGAAGATCGAGCGAACTTGTCAAAGGAGCAAAAGATACAGATTGCAGCTTATTTAAATAAACAATCCACTTCGGATCAAAGCGGTTTGTCTAGGTATTCAACGAGCACAGAACAGCCAAGCAAAAAATATGTACCTGATGCCACAGGATACCCACGCTATCAAGATGGGAATACCCGGTCGCAAAGTTATGCAACAATGACTCCATTACTTGATTCGAAACATTTGAATCGCACAATTGATGGAGAAGAAATATTATTGTCGGACGAAGACTTGCAATCCTTCTTACAAGGACGTGCGAATTTCTCAAAGAGTCAGAAAGCACAGATTGAAGCCTATCTAAGTAAACAATCAGCATCAAATCAAAGTCTTTTTTCAAGATATTTAACGAGCACAAAACTGCCAAGTGGAGAATATACACCTGATGTCAAAATAAATACTGACCATCAAAGTGACACTACCCAGTCCCAACGTTATGTAACGAAGACAGCATTTTCCGATTGGAAAGATGTTAATCGCAGTTCCAAGAAAGAAAGAATATCGTTCTCCGATGATGACTTACGATCTTTCATTGAAGGTCGAGCGAATTTGTCAAAAAACCAAAAGGCACAGATTCGAGCGTATCTAGCTAAACAATCATCATCCAAGCAAAGCATTTTTCCCACTTACCCAACCAGCACAAAATCAGCAGCCAGAAAATATACACCAACTGACAACATATATCCTGACAATGATAGTGAAGATGCACACTTGCCAGATTATGATTCAAAGATGCTATCAACTGATTCGAAAGATTTCAATCTTGCCATGGACAAAGAAGGAATATTATTCTCNATTCGAGCGTATCTAGCTAAACAATCATCATCCAAGCAAAGCATTTTTCCCACTTACCCAACCAGCACAAAATCAGCAGCCAGAAAATATACACCAACTGACAACATATATCCTGACAATGATAGTGAAGATGCACACTTGCCAGATTATGATTCAAAGATGCTATCAACTGATTCGAAAGATTTCAATCTTGCCATGGACAAAGAAGGAATATTATTCTCTGATGATGATTTGCGATTTTTTCTAGAAAATCGAGCGAACTTGTCGAACAGGCAAAAAGCACGGATTGAAGCTTATCTAAGTAAACAATCATCATCAGATCAGAGTATTTTTTCAAGATATTTAACGAGCACAAAACTGCCAACGGGGAAATTTACACTTCATGACAAAGTATACCCTGCCCATGGAAGTGAAAGTACGTCGTCGCGAAGTTATGCAACAAAGACTCCATTATGGGATTCGAAACATTTGAATCGGACAAGAAATGGTGGCGAAATATTATTCTCGGACGATGATTTACGATCTTTCGTAGAAGGCCGAGCGAATTTGTCGAAAGAGCAAAAGGCGCAAATTGAAGCTTATTTAAGTAAACAGTCGTTATCCAATCAAAGTACTTCCTCGACTTATTCAACAGGCACAAAACCAGGAGTCAGAAAATACACACCTCATGATAACATATATCCTGACTATGAAAGCGAATATACACAGTTGTTGGATCATAAATCGAAGAAACCATCTTCGGATTCCAAGAGTCTAAATCGAACAATTGATGGAGAAGAAATATTATTCTCGGACGATGATTTACGATCTTTCGTAGAAGGCCGAGCGAATTTGTCGAAAGAGCAAAAGGCGCAAATTGAAGCTTATTTAGGTAAACAGTCGTTATCCAATCAAAGTACTTCCTCGACTTATTCAGCAAGCACAAAACCAGGAGCCAGAAAATACACACCTCATGATAACATATATCCTGACTATGAAAGCGAATATACACAATTGTCGGATTATAAATCCAAGAAACCATTTTCTGATTCCAAAACTCTCAATCGCACAATTGATGGAGAAGAAATATTATTCTCGGACGATAATTTACGATCTTTCGTAGAAGGGCGAGTAAATTTATCCAAAAAGCAGCAGGCACAGATAGAAGCTTATTTAAGTAAAAAATCGTCATCCAATCGAAGTATCTTCTCGAATTATTCAATGAGCACAAAGCCAGGAGGAAGGAAATATAAGCTTGATGGCAGTATATATTCTGATTTTCTAAGTGAAGATACACGGTTGCAAAATCATGATTCGAAGACACCGTCGTCTAATTCGAAAGATTTAAATCGCACTGTCGGGAGGGAAGAAATATTATTCTCCGATGATGATTTGCGATCTTTCCTAGAAGGTCGAGCAAACTTATCATACAGCCAAAAGGCGCAGATTGAAGCTTATCTAAGTAGACAATCGTCACTCACACAAAGCACTTTTCCAAGTGTTTCAACGAGCACAAAAACATTGGCGAAAAAGCATACATCTGTTGGCAATATATTTTCTAGCTTTCAAACCGAGAAAACGCCTCAGCAACGTTATGTAACAAAGTCACTAGTTCCTGATTCGATAGATATTAGCAGAGTTGTCGATTCGCAAGAAATTTCAGTGTCTGATGATGATTTGCAATCGTATTTAGAAGGACGAAGTAACTTATCGTTGGCTGAAGATGCACAGATTCGGGCATATTTAGCAAAACAAACGTCTCTGAATAAAATCACATTTTCAAGATATCTCACAAGTAAAAATACGCCAACTGAAATATCAACGGCTGACGAAAAATTAGAAGGTTTTTCTGAAGAAACAAGTTTTTCGCTAAGCACACCACCTCAATCAACAGGTTTTCATCCCGTTTCGAAATATTTAAATGGTACACTTAGTAGTAGTAGAGCATCATTAGAATTAGCTTTACAAAACTCAGCTTCTGTCATACCAATTACAACTAAAAACCCCACAGATATAAGACGACTTTGGCAATCGAACATTAATGGTAGTAATGATTTTGACCGTAGTATCGAACAACTTTCTGATGTCTTTACTGAATCAAGTGACGATAGGGATTTATCGATTCATTCACTTAATGAATATTCTCAATTGTCAACTTCAAAATCTTTTATCTCACCATTCCAGAGAGATACCTATGTTACGTCAGCTAAACAATCACTTCATTCAAGAACATCAATCAAGACCCCATTGAAAGAAGTTCTAGTAACAATTCCATTAGATAGAACAAAATCAGACTTTATATTCGGTGAAAAATCTCGAATTGATAATCAAATTCATCGTCTATCAACAGTATCGTCATCAGATCAATTAACTCGAGACATTTCTGATGTAAATCTCATATCATCTACGTTATCTATTAATGATTCATCAATTGTAAAAAATCATTCTCTAGTAACTCAATTCAGTTCAATTCTCATTGATAAAAATGCTACTATACACTCTTATAATAACAACCAACAGGTAACCGTTCATGACGATGATGATAAAATAAATGTTTCTCTTTTTTCAACGAAATTGAAATCAACAATGGATTGGAAAATTTCACAATCTACTCCACGACAATTAATATCAACCAAAGTTCAAAGTATCTCATTTGATAAAACTTCAAAATCTCCTGCAGACATTAAAACTGGTCAAACTTCATCAAACTTAGTAATAATTTTACCTGATAATATGACAACTATAGATTCATTACCACTAGTGACTCATGAGTCGAATACACAAACTACTGTTCACCAAACTCAAATATCTTCTCCAAAAACTCATACTATTAAAGTTCCTACAACTCTTCAAAATCTTACCTTGTTACAAAATCAATCTAATATAAACGACACATCAAAACCATATGATATTGTGAGAGATAATCTTAATGATGAATCTATTAACATTAAACAAATTTCAAGATTACCAACTTTAATCACAAATGATACATTGATTTTAATTACAACATCCGGTTATATTAATCAAAATATAAAAGATGAAATTAGCCATAAACATTCTTCGGCAATGTCAGTAGATGCCAATGTTACCTCTACCTTTCGCTCATCATTACCGCTTATTACGTCTAATACAACCCTGCTTCCTTCACGTCGTTCACCTTTATCATCACCATTGCACTATTCACGTCCATATTCAAGCACTAAATCACCAAAGTTTACTTCATTGTCATCATCAAAACTCTTTTCAGACCGAACCACTATCACAACAACAACATCCACAACGACAACCACCACAACAACAACTACAACAAGCACCTCAACAATAACAACAACCACCTCAACAACAACAACAACAACCACCTCAACAACAACAACAACAACAACAACCACCTCAACAACAACAACAACAACCACCACCTCAACAACAACAACAGAAACAACCACAACAACCACCACCTCAACAACAACAACAGAAACAACCACAACAACAACCACCACCTCAACAACAACAACGACAGAAACAACCACAACAACAACAACAACAGAAACAACGACAACCACCATCACCACAACAACGACAACGACAACCACCACTACAACAACAACACCAACAACAATGCTAGTGTCTACAGGAATAACAACAATGCCTTCACATTCGACTATTTTTTCGTCACCTACTAGTACATTACAATCGTCACCTAAATTTTCATCAATACAAACTACTAATGAAGCTCGAACATCACATGTTAAACAATCGACATTAATTACTACTCTTGTTGATACGTCTTCTTCGCCTCCGATAACAACGTATCAACCACATTTGACATCAACTATTTCTTCTACATCATTTCTTACTACTGATGAACATTCGTTAACGACAACATTTGATTCATATACATCTAAACTTCCCACAACGTACATCGAATCATCATCGTTATCATACGTAGAATCCACTGAAACATTCACTACTGATTATCAATCGATAACCACTACTCTGGTTCCTAGTACTTATCTTGATTCTTCTTCCACAATAACATCAGATAAAACGTCAATACGCTCTACTTTAACTACTACGAATGAAGAAAATCTTCCACTATCTACTTATCAACCGTTAGAAACAACTGAAACACTACATTTATCATCACTAACTACTGATCAATATCAAGAAGAATTTACTTCATTGAAATTTGTATCAACAATTTTTCCTCACGTTTATAAATCAAAGATTCTCTCGACACTTGAACATTCTGCTGTACGAACAAGTTATCCATTAACAACAAGTATAACTACAACAACGATTGCATCAACTACCACCACCACCACCACAACAACAACAACGACAAAATATCGATATAAAACTCGAAAACCAAAGATAACTGGTCGGAAAACACAACAAGTATCGACTAGTTCTTCTTCTCCAACCACTTTCATTATAACTTCATATCGAACAACCTTTAAGCATGGTATGTTCTAGATTTTTTCTTTAAGTCCAATTAAAAAAAAATCAATTTTCCTCAGAATTATAGAAATTAATACATATGCATGAGAGATAGCTCAAGGCTGCTCTTTTATATGTGACATGATTCTTTTATTTGGTATCTCGTAATTTAAGAAAATTTTCGAATACTTTTTTAATCCTGCATTTCGGAGTTTTCGAAGAAGCTTCATCATAACCAATTACTTTTCTTTATTTATTTGAAAAACCATGTCAAGATGCAGATCATGGTAGAGCTTGTCGTGTGAATTAACCCTTACCACTGTTATATCAAATAGTACTTTTACAATTAGAGTACCGTTTTTTGAAACATTAAACTCTTCTTCTCCTCAAAAAGTAAGAAGCACTCTCTCATGCACGGTATCCTAACACACTCTTTCAAGCAAAAATAATCAAGTATATAGAATGAAGGTACTCAGCAAATTTTAGTTTCCCAAATGAGCTATTTTTGACAGTTGTTAATTGAATATCTTCGAAAACGTCATCTTATAGGGCTGAAAAATTTCAGCATAGTCTCTCCGCTACAGCTGCAACATATCCTGAAAATTGTATGCAGTTTGAATATATTCGACCCGAGATTAATTCTTGAAAGATCGAAGCGGCTTTGAAATGGTACTTCATATTTCTACATCTTTTAGACTATGAATTATCAACATCCACACAAATATCAACTTGGCCTTCTAAATGGAATTTTCCTGATCAACAACAATCAACTCTTATCAGACCTCCATTAATTAAAAATGATTCTAATACACCTATTACTAATTATTTACTTAATCAAATATTTAATAATATATCAACATCAACAAATTCTTCAACAGAAAGATTAATTGATTTTAATCTAAATGATTATCCACCATCAGCATGGAATTTATCATTAAAGTCAAATGAAACTGTTACTCTTAATGTTATATTGCCGATATCATCTGCGTCAACAAATTTAACATTTACAAATATTGAAGCAAATCGTATATCAGCAAATATAATTGGTATACCAATTAATTTACAAGTTGATCGTGTACAAACAAAACAATTTTCATTAACAATGAATGCTACAGATAATGGTTTAAATTCGAATCGTACAACACGATATTTATCTGATGTTATTATTGGTCATGTTAAAAGTGAACAATTTGAATTAAATTTAACTAAAACCGATAATATGAATGTACGGGTACGACAAGTTGATTCAGCAACAGCTGAACTTTATCTTGATAGTAATTTTTGTACAAATGAAAGTAGTTTAGAAATTAATTTAAATCTTTCTCAAAATGGTAAAAAAAAAATTTTTTTTAATCTTGTTCTTGTTTGTCTTCTTAATTTCATATATATGTTTTTTTGATTATTTTAAAGGAACAATTCGTTATGGTAATCGAAAACCAATAAATATTGGACCCGTTTTTACTCGAGTACACATGCTTAAAAATTCATGTGATCGTGAACAACCATTAGCATTATTTTTTGATATATGTGAACGAACAAATCCATGCTTAAATGATGGTATATGTCAATCTGTTATACCTGATTATGATGATAATTCAAATACTAATAGTGAAATTGGACATGTTGGTTATAAATGTCAATGTCCATTACATACATCAGGTGAACATTGTCAATCTTTACAATATCCATTAGGTTATTGTTTAAATAGTGGAACATTATTCCAAATAAATAATATAAATAATAATACAATTGAAAAATGTATCTGTCCAATAGGTTTTCGTGGTGAACATTGTGAAGAAAATATTGATAATTGTATTGGTATAACATGTTCGGATCATGGAATATGTGAAGATGGTATTGATCAATATAAATGTTCATGTTTTGATGGTTTTTATGGTTCTAATTGTGATCGTAAAAATGTACAAACTGTTTTATTACAAGCAGCAAGTCGATCATTTGGTGTTGTTGCAATATTATTAATTGCTGCTATAGCTGGTCTTGTTGTTGCTAGTGATATTCATACATATTTAACAAGAAAAGATGAAGCATGTCGTTTACCAAATAAACTTTCACGTGTACAATCAGAATTATTTGAAAATTCAGTACTTTTACTTGGATTTAGCGAAGCACCTATTGAAATGAATGATTTGTCAGCTACTCGAAAATTAAAAAAACCAATAGTACTAAAACAACGTCAAACAAATAGAACAACAAGAAATAGAAAATCAACACATTATCAACAAATTTCAAGAGAAAAACCATTAACAACCGTTCCGAAATCATCATCTAAACATTCTGTAGCATCAAATCAACTAAATCAAACAACTGTTTAAAAACTTTTTTTTTTGTTTTGTTTTATTGGCTTTTTTTTCTTTTGCTTGTGTTTGATATATATATTTGATAATAATAATTAGAGATACTATTTTCATTTCTTCTAGGGTAACGTAGTAGCAATTGGAAATTTAAGCCAACATTTTTTTGTCATCGTTAAATATAGCTCGTCAGATTACCTGTGAAAATGTTGTTTTCAACATATTCAGACGCTATTTTGGAGGTAAACCTGAGGAAAGTTAGATTTTAAAATATTAATTAGGTCTATAAAAATTGAAACGCATCAAATGTATCAAGTCTTGAGAGTCTCAAGATTTATTCGAGTATCTTTCTTTATTTTACTTGTCATATAGTTAGGTAAAACTTGTGCCTGCTTTCTGAAAGATATTGTTTGGTTGCTAAGAAAATCGATTTTTTTTCCGCATGGTAGCGAACAAATCCATAAAAACGGATTCGTATTCCGAGATTGTCATGATTAGAATTAGCACTAAACTCTACATGGAATAGTATACTTAACACTTAAAACTAATGACCCACAGGACAGATTATTCAAAAATACCCATGAAGCGGAAGGTATTGGTAAAATATCCTGTGACACACACTGAGACACTCGGAATGATAATCTCAAAAAAGAATATTTGGAAAATGAATTCAAATGTAGCTATCCTATATATTTTGAACCGCCTACACTTACATTTATTGTTAAAAAATGTACATAGATACCAAGATAACGTAATTCTTAAAAGATCAGACCATCTTTACTGCATTGGTGAGATGCTATCTGAATTGAACAGCAATTGTTAGTGCACGAAGATCGTCCGAACATGCAAAAAAAACAACAAGGTGTTTTGTGAAATTTAACACAATAAAGACACTAAAAGATGGTATCATGTGAGTCGACACTTATTTCCTAATAATATGAAAAGTGTAACAAAATATATGTATGCTAATCATTTTTAAAGAGGAAAATATTGTTAACTTTTGTAAATGATTTTTTTTTATGATGTCATATATCAATTAGTTATTTGTTGTGAAAATAAATCGAATGGCAAGGAAGAAAAGAAAAGTTTTATTATTCTTATTTTATTAACATCAATCTTATATAGAATTAATATGTAACAATATATTTTAAAGTTTGTGAATTTTCAAACTTTATAATTGTTTGTTACAAACCATTTTGTTTGTTTTTTTCAAATAGTTTGTCCTGATGCATTCAATGTCATAGATTTCTATTGAACGATTAACAACGATTTTGATCGATGTATTTTTATACATTATTTTGCATTAATTATTCTGTCAAATGATTTTCCACCTGACAAAAGTGACAAGTTTTTAAATCTAATAAAGAAATATAAAATTAACGTGACGAAAGATTTGTCTACAGCTTGTTAAACGTGTTATTGAAATGATTTAATCATGATGTGTGATGCTATCAAAACAATAGTTGCAGTGATTTGTATATGTTGTCACAAGCAATGAACAATTTTCATAAAGATACAATTCACCTTGATATTAATCTCATGTTAGAACTAATTACAAATGCATTAATCTGTTAATTTTATTAAGTTATACGTGTATTTAGATTTTCTCAATGATGATCATGTTGATATTAATGAAAGAATCAATCATATCAAAAAGTTAAGACATAAAGATTATGTAAACTCATTTATTTAAAGTTATGATGCTTTTTCTATAATAAACAAAGAATAAGAAAATGTTTTTTAATGAATCGAAATTCAAAGTACTTTATCAATGATGATGTCATTTATTTAATTTCTCAATCAAATAGAAGAAACGTGTGTTTTTTTGTTTTATTATATCCTAATGTCTAAGCGGATTGCATACATACAATTAATCTTAATATTGTCTTTCTTCAAGCACAGAAAATTATCGGTTTATAGATTTTATCATAAGTGTAGTTCTGCATATGTTCAATAAGAAAAATGTTAAAATGCTTCTATTTCACTCATTTATCATATTTGATTGAACACATAATGGCTTTGTTCGCGTGCGGACACATTTACTCATAATTCATTGTTTAGACAACCAATCGGCTACACTCGATTTCGCTTTCTACTAATGATCAATAGTTATATGTTCTTCGTTACATTACTGTGAATAAAAAAAGACAAAAAAAAAAGTAAATAATAGTTATTCAACTGACAGTAAGAAAAAAAAAGCGGCATACAAATGCAAAAAAAACAAACAAATAAACACACTCGTTTATAATAGGTATATATATATGCACTATTTACAAGCAACGGCTTATTTCTTGAGTAGTAACACAATTTTGACATTGAACATAACAGCACCATTGAAAACGACAATTACATTTATCATGTACAGTCACTATTTGAGATTGATAACCACGATTACAGCAAAGTAGATCACATCCGTCAATTGCACGTGAACTTCGATTACAAATACGTCCTACAGTACCAAATGAGCCTAATGATAAATTCTTTTCACAATAATTTGGACTTGATTTATAATAAATAAAATCGTTTTTATATGTTGTTGATATTGTTTGTTTATCAATATGAAATGGAAGATTACGTGGTACAAAACGTATTTTTTTATCAAATAAACTTCTTTGTAAACGTACTTCCATTGCATCATCATAATATTCTTTAAGTTGTTTAGCTATGTGTGTAAATGAATGAAGCGAACGCCAACATATTTTAAATTCACATGAACCTGATACACCATGACATTTACATTGTCGATCAATAGAATCAAGAATTGTCTTTAAAAAATAATATATATATAATATAGATAATAAAATCAAAAGAAAAATATTAACAAAAAGAAAGAAAGAAATTCTTTACTCGAATTCCAACTTGATTATTATGAACATTTAATAAACTTGTTCGATTTTTTGTTATACGTTCTCGAAGATTAACAAATTTTTTAGCTAATTGTGTACCAAATAAAACATTATCTGAACATCCTGTCCATCGTACAGAATTATTTAAATTTTTATCATCTATTGACATATCACATCCACATGAACTAAGTCGTCCTGTACTACATGCTTTTGTTATAGCATAAGCAATACCAGCTGATGTTAATGCATGAACATATGCTGATTCTTTTGTTCCTATTTTATTAAAAAGAAAAATATTTCATATCTTCTTTTTTTTGTTTTTTTTTAAAGAAAAAATAAAATCTAAAAACCTGAATCAAGAATATTTCCAATTAATTGATTATCTTTAAATAAAGAACAATTCCAATGACGATTTTTAAATTGTATTTTACATTCTTCTAATGCTAAATTTGTACCAAAACGTATAAATGGCATAAGTGCTTCATTTCTTTGACAAAAACGTATTTGTCTATAACTAAGACCATATTTAACATGACAAAGACCTTGTGTAGCAAATGATATATCAGATACATGAATTATTGATCTAAACAAAAAGAGAAATTCTTCTTCTTTCTTTTTTTTTCTTTTCAATTCACATCTGTTCAATTTTATGACATATTTGTCCAAGTTTTAATTTTATAGATCAATAAACATTTATTTTTCAAATGTAAATAAAAAAAAAAAGATATATTTGAAATGATAACCACATGCTGTTTATATATTTGTTTTACCAACATATGGAGAGATCATTGATCTTTAGTTTTTTTTTTTATTTTTCTTGTCAATGAACGAAAGCAAATGACTTTTGAACGTGCTTAAATGTTTCCTATGCTTCTTAAATGTATGCATATTAAGAAGTAAAGAAATATCAAATAATGAATTATATGTGCATGCCGATGACTTTTTTTTGTTACGTTCATTACGTCATTTATGATGATCATCATTTCTTCTCATTTATATTCTCGCAAGACAAATTAAATGAGATAGAAGGTCTTTTTTTTTTATTACAAAAAAAAGAGAAAGAATTAATGAGCCGTGTCTCATCTATCTCTTGACATGGATTAAAAATATATTATATTGGATATATTAATAAAGTCAGGGATATTTCGAGGCCATCACGATGGGTATATGAAAAGTGTGCACGAAACGAGAGATGAAGGTTAAGATACAAGAGCAGACCTTGTCAATCTTACGACACCCACACTCACACTATCACTCAGTATTTTCAGAATGGTTGTGCACATCTTTCGAGATTTTCATCAAGATTTGGATAACCCTTGCTACCGGAATTTCTCGAAATACGTAGGCAGGGGGAAATCCTCTACTTAACGTTTATATTTTTAAAACTTTACTTACAGCCATTGTTGACTTGAGTTGATTAAAATAAAAAGAAATAAAAATGATATTTTCATTGCTTATAGATTGAAATACAATCGATCGTATGAATATGTCAATGTGAGAACATAGCTTTGAATGATTTATATATATTAATCAATATAATATATTGTTGTAAATCTTCTCATTGACTTGATAAGATCTAATTTGAGGATAAGAATAGGAAAAAAAAACAACAAGTGTTGATGATTCTTCTCTATATATGTATATATTGCGTAGTTAGAAATGAAGGTGTTGATGGCGATGAGAATATCAATGTTCATAATAAAAAAGAAAAAAGAAAAAGAGGAGCGAGAGAGAGAGAGGGAGACAGAGGTGAATAATGATTGGTTATATGGAAACAGAAAAGAAAAAAAAAGAGAAAATGTTCAATTTTTCTTTCTCTCTGTCTGTTGGTGGGAGTTTGCGAGTCTTTCTAACACTTCGATGACAAATCTCTTTTCACTTTCTCTATCACATAACATACTGATTTATGTGCACAGTAGAGTCAATTAGTGTCACATATCGAGATGACTGACCAACTGCTATATTACTAATGTGTCTGCTACTCGACAATTGCGATTTATTGCAATGTTGTTTTTTTTCTTCTTGCATAGCTACCGTTTGATGTGATCATCGATCAAATACATATAATGATATTGAAGTTTTTTCATTATAAAAACATATGTGTACATTTGTTCATAAAAAAAGAAATAAATTATTATTGTGTTTGTTTTGTACACACAGAACTGAATGTGAACT